GTATTAGGTATGTCCACCGCCTTGAGTTATTTATAGAAATAATAAAGGCGGGATAAAAAAATATTTTAAAAAACCTATTAGACTTTTTGCGTGTGTGTATGTATCCTTGAATCAGTGTTGACTCCTGGCAAGTGCCTGGATAATCTCTGCAGTTTTCTTGGCAAAGCTTTTCAGAAGTGGTTTGCCCTTGCCTCCTCCTTCTTCCCAGGGCTGAGAGAGAGAGACTGGCCCAAGGTCACCCAGCTGGCTTTGGGCCCAAGGTGGGACTAGAATTCACAGTCTCCTGGTTTCTGGCATGATGCCTTCACCACTACACCAAACTGGCTCTCATATTAGGCTTGGTATACAGGTAGTCCCTGGCTTAAGAACGCCCAGTTTAAGGACCACCCATAGTTAAGAACGGAGCCTATTGTAGCAAAATTTGAGCTAAATATACAACAATTCAAGTTAAATACACGATGGCTCAAGTTCATCACACAATACTACTAATACTATTATATTATTATATAATACTGTTATGGCTTACATACAAATTCGACTTAAGGATAGACCTTGGGAACAGAACTTGTTCTTAAACTGGGGACTACCTGTATATTTAAATAAGAGAGCCATTTCCCCCCTTAGCTTTCAACAGCACAAATAATTCCTGTTTTACTTAAAATTAAATAGATTATATCTTACATTGGTCAGTCATTACCATTTTTTGCTGTAACAAATAACATAACATGGCCGTGCCGCTCTCTGGAAATGGATCTAAGATTGTTGCAAGGCTAAAAGGAACTCTTCTGGCAAAGGGCAGGAAATTGATGTCATTCTGGTTCAGAGGTTCTTCTGATCTGGACTTTCCAATGCCACAAATTGAGGAATGCTAGGCTAGGTGTGCATCCATGAGAATGGCTAGTTTTTAAAACCAGATCTTGCCATTGGGCCTTTAACAGTACCTTGCCGTGAAAACTTTAACAGTGATCGTCCTTACTTGCTTTTTATGACAACTATCAATTAGGCAGTTGTTAAACCACAAGAACTCTTTCCTTTCTTCTCAATCAGCAGTCTTATGACTGCGGTCTGTTAACTGATGGACTCTTCCTTAATTTTTAAGAGGTTATTTGTGTTTTCAGAATGAAATTCCATGGGTCAAGATAGCTGCCTTGTATTCCAGAATAAAAGAGCTCAAATGCGACAGTGTAATGCTGAAATGAGCATTGGGGCCGTTGGTGGAAGTCTTACTAGCCTGCAGATAAGCAGAAGGTTGCAAGGGAAGGATTTAAGCATTTAGCTAGGCCAGAAGAACCTGAAGGGAGAGATGTTTTTCATGTATTTGGATGGGGAAAGGGGAAAACAAAAATATTTTTGCCTCTGTTCTGGCTAAACCTCATTTAAACCTTGGGCTGAGAAATAAAGTAGACCTGCTTTTTTCTTGTAGATCCAGAAGTTCTGCTTAGCTTAATTGTTTCTTTGGCTAGAGTCCTTTGAATTAGAGAGAAAAAGTATTTTAATGCACACTGATTTGTAAAGCATTGTTCTACCTCCTGCGCCGATCTAGGTGTTAGAGATTAATATATGACAGCCAATAAAAATGTTGCTGTTTGCTGTAAGTGCTTGGGGTGTTATGACCAAAGCAAGGCCATGTTTACCTCTGTTGCCAATTGAATGTGGCACTAGTGTACTCTGAATAGGAATCTGAACTGGCAGAAAAGATTTGCAAACTAGCTGAGTATCCAAAACTTATATTCCTTCCCTGTCTGCAGGTGTTCCACCAACAGAACCAGCGCAAAACTGAAAGTCTGAACTGTCCAAGCCCAGTTTCTTTGGATGGTTCAGACATTAACATCAACCTATTTTAATATAGGTTTCTTCTCAGGGCTTTTCTCTTAAGATGCATATGTGTGACTTGAAAACGTGCTTGCAGGAGTTTCTAAATATCAAGTGGTATAATTATTTTTACTGAAATGCCCCTTATTTCTCAGGTGCACCGTATTTGTTACCCAGTTGAGAAGTCAGTTGCTCAATGAAAAATAATTGATGGAGCAGTTTCTCTAATCCATCTGTATTCAGTTTTTCCCTGTTCTTTTCCACAGCAGGTGCAGAAAGGTATACTTTGCTAATTTAGATCATATTCTAGATCCTTTGGATCTACAAGAAGTCTGTTCTACTAAGGCTGAGGCCACAAAAGCAATGAAAGGTTTAGGGCTAGGAAAAAACTGTGTCGTAGAATATTAATCAGGATAACATTGGGAGAACTGCTAAGGATCTAGATGGTTAAGAACGTGACAGATTGGGGTAGAGGAACAACAGCTTCTGCCATGAGGAGAAGAGATAGGATGAGAGGAGCTGGTATAGCTGCCATTTAAGACCAAGGACAGCAAAGAATCTTTGGATTGTGATAGCAAAGGGAGCCAGTTTGGTGTAGTGATTAAAAGCACTGGGCTAGAAACCAGGAGACTATGAGTTCTAGTCCTGCCTTAGGCATGAAGCCGGCTGGTGACTTGGGGCCTCTCTCTCAGTCCTAGATGAAGGCAGTGGCAAACAACTCTCAAAAATGTTGCCAAGAAAACTGTATGGACTTGGCCAGGTGGTTACCAGGAGTCAAGACTGACTTGAAATGCGCACACACAAAGATAGCAAAAAAAGGTCGGAACTGTAGTAGGTGATCTAGGGCTGCTGAAGATGAGGCTGAGGAGGTGTTAGCAGCTCTTAAGTCCTGTAATTTATTGCATTTCTGCAATAAGAAAATGAGTGGAAGGATTTTGATCTGTTTCACATGAAGCTTCTAGACAGAGCCACCTGTAGTCTGTGATGGCTAAGTTTGGGCATTGAGCAAGCATTACTGATTCAAATCCTTGATGGCAACAGGCATAACGTCTATCACAAAAGCTGCATGTACAAAAGAAAAAATGTTTTCCACTGGGCGGGGCTGTGCTGTTTGAAAGCTGCTGTAATTTGCAGTTCTTTGCCTTATCTTGGTATCTGCAGATAAACTGGAATGCCTCCCTTTGAATCTACTTGACAAAGGTGGTTCTGCTCCTGGTACATATGTGGTTTGGGAGTCTGATATTCTCAGGGGCAGACTTTTGTCCTCTTTTTGTCCTTCCTCAGAAGTGTCAACACAGGCCTGACCAGTGGCTGAATGGGAGCATGGACTGTTGAGGCATGACACCCGAGTCCCTCAGCGTCTGGTCCTCCAGCCTTTGGGCTCAGTGACGCCATGGCCCACCACAATGTCAGTTTCCAGCCTGAATCCTCAATCCCACACTCAGATCACAAGGAGGAAGCAGTGGATTGCAAGGAAGAAACTGCCGAGCCCAGCCCCTTGGACTGCGTTATCTGCTTCACCTCTTATGACCAGCTCTTCAAACTGCCAAAGGAGCTGAGCTGTGGTCACATCTTCTGCCTGGAGTGCCTGGCCCGCATCAATGTCTCTTCAGAAGATGTCAATGCCATCACCTGCCCTGTCTGCCGGGCACCCACTGCCTTGCCCTCCCGCAAGGGCCTGCCGGGCCTCCCCACTCGCCGTGACCTGCTGGAGCAGCTCGCCTCAATGCCGGTGCCCCCTGGCTCAGTGCGCTTTGATCGTCGGCGGGGTTTGCTCTACCTGCCAGGGGGGAGTAAACGTGGGGCTCAAGTTGGGTCGAAGCCGGGGCCACCCCTCAACACTGTCAGCTTGAGTGTAGATGTTGGGAGGCCTCCACCCCCGGGATCAGCCCGGAGACTGGCCCTCTCGGGTTGGCCGTTCTATGTCGCTCTAGCAGTTGCTTTGCTAGTCACGGTTGCCTTGGTGGTCTGTGGCATCTATATCTTTATGATGCCTTCTATGTACATTTCAGTGGGAGGATTTCCCCAAGGAAATCACAGTTTAGAGTCTGGGGGGAACCAGTCCTATTCAACAAGGTTTCCCCCACACTAACACTAAGAGATGGGCTTCCTGCCCTTCAGGCGTCCACTTGATGTGATTGTGTTGCTGATAGTTTCAGATTCTCCAGAAACTCCCTGGCCGCCTCCAGTTGCTGGCGTAGGATGGATGGGAAGATAAAGCTTAACTCTGCCTGCTAATCCTTTTCATCTCTGGAGGCTGTTGCACCAGACTTTACTGGCGAATTGCCGCTTGGACTTCTGCTGGAACTTCCCTCACAGCCACCCACCTGTGTATTATCTTTAGGTTGCGTGAAAAGGAGAGACTGATATTGCCCCTTCACCATTTTATTGCCCACAGGAGCAGGGTGGTGGGAAAACACAGCATGTTACAACTTCTCGGTGAACATACTAATCCACCTTAATTGTTATCTTGGCAGAGATGCACCATGCTGTTAAAATGTTGACAGCCTTCCTTAACCTGGTGCCCTCCAGACATGCTGGTTTATTATCTCCATCCTCTCCAGGAAGTTGTGGGTGCCAGACTGGAGAATATCACTCCAGATGAGGGGAGCAACATTTCAGGTGACCAAGCAACTGCCAGCCTGAAACTCTTTCTTCAGTCAGAAATTTAATTCAGCACAGAATATGATGGGGTAAAACTCTTAGAAAACATGCTTAGAGAGAAGCAAATGAAGAAGGCCTTTGCACTGCCCTCTCTCCTGAACAGCTGGTGGAATCCACTCTGCGGTTCTGCTTCACAGCTGGATCTGGCACTTCCCTTCCTGGGATTGAGGATTCTTTGGCAAGGGGTCCTTCTCCCTGGCAGCTGCACTTTCACCGTTCTTGCTTTGTATCCTCTTCTCCTGGGCCCAGGCCACACTCCTTGCAGGAGCAGAAGCAACTTGGCAGAGAAATCCACTTGATTGTGGTGGTCAGCAGTGGGCACCTTGCCAAAGATACCAAGGTGAGATTAATCATTGATGCTGCTCTGAAGTTCTGGCCAGCATGAATACAGGTCTCAAGTCTTGTGGATCACAATAGCCTAATGAAGGACAGTGTGGAGAATCACCTCTGGCTTCTTGCTTGTTCTGCTACCTCATGTTCCTCTGATCTTCTGTGGCCTGGACAGCTGTGTGGCAAGTGGGAATCCAACTAGCCAAGGTTTTCCTAACATCAGAGGTGTAGTAAAGGGAGGGGGCTTTACCTGCTCTGAACTCCTTGCTGTGTAGCTAAAGGCACGAGACTGGTATTTAGGAAGGTGGGAGAGAAGCAGGGGGTGGGAAGGAGCCTGCCCAAAGACAGCCTATGGTTTGGGCTTGGAGGTTTTATCTCCAGAACCATATTTCTTAGTGGATTATGGCTATGATTATGGCTAGGAAAAAAAAAGACATCCTGCTTTGTGCCTGTGCCTCTAATAGCAGCAGAAAATGCACAGATCAGCAGATAAAGTAGGAAGCAGTTATGGGCAATTAATACAGGTCAGATTACTGTATGAAATGCAACAGGAAGGATTGGTTAGGGAAGGAAGAATGACAGTAAAATTTTGCACTCTTCAAGTTTTGTGCCTTAGAAATTACTCTCCATTTTTGCTTTTTTTTTTTTTGGCCACCTCTGCATCAGGAGCACCTCATTCTCAGATGCCCCTCAAAGCTGTTTCACCATCCTGCATGGGAACTCTGCTCTATTGGAAAAATAATACTAATTTTTAAAAATATTGGCCAGCTGTTTAGAACAGTATTTGTGATAAGGAAATTTAGAATTGAAATCCAAAAGCCTAGAATTCTATGCCCACTGTCCTAAGAAATGTAATCTTTTTTAATGTTTTGTCTGCAATCACAAATAACCATTAAAAGACTTTCACAGATTTCCTAAGAATGTATAGAGGACTTGCTCTGGATTTATAACGTGTGTAATTTTTCTCTCCTTATGGTTGGCTATGAGCTGAGCAAACTCATCTCCAGTAACTCATTGCCTGGGACTGACTTCTGAAGCCCAACTAAGTTATAGGCATTTTTATAAGGATCTTGATTAATTGATCATTGCTGTGGATGGAGCTAAATGAGTACCTTCCTGGGATAGCTTTTATTTTTCCTTTGCCCTTTCCCTCAAATATTTTCCAGTAAGAGATCTAAACATGAAAACTTCTAAGTTCACAAACAGATGAACGACATACACAATAGAGCAGGGTTTCTCGATCTTAGCAGCTTTAAGATATGTGGACTTCAACTCCCAGAATTCCACACATCTTAAAGCAGTGTTGTCCAAACTTGGCCACTTTAAGATGAGTGGACTTCAGCTCCCAGAATT